AGAAAAAGAGAGATTGGATGAAATTACTTGGTTACAATTTTGGCTGCATATTTACGCGTCATTCTGTAAGCCTCTGCCTTGAGTGGCTCTTAGGCATTGTCTTGGTAAAGAAGATAAAAAGGAGAGAGATATAAATTACTTACTGGTTTACAATTTTGGCTGCATATTTACTCCTGTAACCCTCGGATACTCTATATGCCCAACAATAATAACAGGTCCATCCTTTTAGACCGTGTTCAAAATTAGGATTCTTGATAAGTTCTTTGTCTTTGAGAATCGTTGGCGAAATTTTAGTGGTGCCACTGTTATCTTCAACTATCTGCACTGACAGAGAATCAGGAATTGCCTTTTTAGATTTCGAAACCTTTGCCATCATCTTGTTTCTCGCCAATAAAACTTTCTCTCGGCTTTTCGGTTCGTCATTTGGAAAACTTGATAATGGATTTCTACCATCAGCACTTTGTAACGGTGTGTTCGAGATATTTGTCATGCTTTCGAGTATATTCCGAGATGGCCTTGGAGCTGTCAAATTGTTAATGGATATCAAAAAACAGTCCGGATCGAATATATTTGGAGATTTCTTCTTTGAAGGGTTCATCTCGTTACAACCGCCATATCCGTAACTTAAGATAGGCAGAACAAAATGGTGGTGAATTAGGAGAAGAAGTAAAACACGGTCAAGACAAAAAGACGCCATTGTTTTTTGTCCTTAAAAAGTAAACATTAGCAGATTACCAAACTGTGTTGTTGTTGTTTATCGTATTTAACCCCCAATTCTTCTATTCCAAATGATCATGAATTGGTACTGTGGTTTGATCACATTTCTTTCCATTCAAACTATGGAATCCCCAAATTAATAATCTTGAGACGTTTTAAAATAAATTTGACTTAGATTTTAGATTTTAGAGACTCAAATCTTGAAATTTGCAAGACGGAAAACACGCGTTCTATCAAAGTTCAAAGAATGGAAGAAGAAAATGATTTTGCGTTTTTAAAATATCTTGTTTGTTTAAAATAAACGACGCGTCTATCTCTAATCAGTTTTTTTTTCTTCTTTTTTTTGGCGGTTTCAGTAAATTAAAAAAAAAGAAGACAATAGATATACAATGGTGGTAATGACTATTTTGTTGGGCGAAAAGACTGCATTGCTTAAATATTTAACTATGCAAGGCGGGAGCGTTTTTGAATTGTTTGCATTTATCTGAATCAAAGAGTAATGATAAAGTGTGAAGGGGAAGATAGCTGGCTGGGATAGATAGATAGATAGATAGATAGATAGATAGATAGATAGATAGATAGATAGATAGATAGATAGATATTAAAAGGATTGAGATAGATAGATAGATAGATAGATAGATAGATAGATAGATAGATAGATAGATAGATAGATAGATAGATAGATATGAAAATGACTGCGATAGATAGATAGATAGATAGATAGATAGATAGATAGATAGATAGATAGATAGATAGATAGATAGATAGATAGATAGATATGAAAAGGAGATAGATAGATAGATAGATAGATAGATAGATAGATAGATATGAAAATGACTGGGATAGATAGATAGATAGATAGATAGATAGATAGATAGATAGATAGATAGATAGATAGATAGATATTAAAAGGATTGAGATAGATAGATAGATAGATAGATAGATAGATAGATAGATAGATAGATAGATATGAAAATGACTGCGATAGATAGATAGATAGATAGATAGATAGATAGATAGATAGATAGATTAGTTGGCTTATTTTATCGCTCCAGGAATACAAGAGCCAGATAAGACAAAAAAAATTGCTTTTATATCTGGGCTGGAGATACACAATCTTCACTTTCCAGCCTTGATAGAGTTCAAAATCGTTTTCGCGGTTTTTTTTTTTTTTTTTTTTTTTTGGTGGGGGAGACTTATTTTCCACACTGCAGTCTCTTTTCCCTCAGATGCAAAAGTTGCAAGTTTCACGCTTCTCTATCGCTGTTTCCAAGATAAATGTTCAGTCGAGCGCCACCCTCTAGGAACTCGAAATGCTACGCCCAAGGAATCGAATCACCTACATTTCCTCCATATTCCAGTTCTAAGGAGGAAGTTCCTGCATTTTTCCAAAGAACTGCTACTTTGTGGAACAAACACTCGCGTGAATTCATCCCTGAACACTACGATCTCAACCTCTTCAAGTCAAGGGTCAATCGCTATCTATCCTCATAAGCTTAACTCCTTTCTACCTCCTCTTACATTTATATCCGGCACGTCAATAAGTAAGCCTCTACCTTGAATGGCTCTCCAGCCGTGTATTGAGTGAACTTTAGTTAAAGAAAAAAAAAGAGAGATTGAAGGAAATTACTTGTTTACAATTTTGGCTGCATATTTACGCGTTATTCTGTAAGCCTCTACCTTGAGTGGCTCTTAGGCATTGTCTTGGTAAAGAAGATAAAAAGAAGATAAGTAGAAATTACTTACTTGTTTACAATTTTGGCTGCATATTTACTCCTGTAACCCCCGGTTACTCTATTGGCCCAACAATAATAACAGGTCCATCCTTTTAGACCGTGTTCAAAATTAGGATTCTTGATAAGTTCTTTGTCTTTGAGAATCGTTGGCGAAATTTTAGTGGTGCCACTGTTATCTTCAACTATCTGCACTGACAGAGAATCAGGAATTCCTTTTTTAGATTTCGAAACTTTTGCCATCATCTTGTTCCTGGCCAATAAAACTTTCTCTCGGCTTTTCGGCTCGTCACTTGGAAAACTTGATAATGGATTTCTACCATCAGCAGTTTGTAACGGAGTGTTCGAGATATTTGTCATGCTTTCGAGCATATTCCGAGCTGGCCTTGGAGCTGTCAAATTGAGAATGGATATCAAAAAACAGTCCGGATCGAATATATTTGGAGATTTCTTCTTTGAAGGGTTCATCTCGTTACAACCGCCATATCCGTAACTTAAGATAGGCAGAACAAAATGGTGGTGAATTAGGAGAAGAAGTAAAACACGGTCGAGACAAAAAGACGCCATTGTTTTTTGTCCTTAAAAAGTAAACATTAGTAGATTACCAAACTGTGTTGTTGTTGTTTATCGTATTTAACCCCCAATTCTTCTATTCCAAATGATCATGAATTGGTACTGTGGTTTGATCACATAGATAGATAGATAGATAGATAGATAGATAGATAGATAGATAAGTTGGCTTATTTTATCGCTCCAGGAATACAAGAGCCAGATTAGACAAAAAAAATTGCTTTTATATCTGGGCTGGAGATACACAATCTTCCCTTTCCAGCCTTGATAGAGTTCAAAATCGTTTTCGCAGTTTTTTTTTTTTTTTTTGGCGGGGGGAGACTTATTTTCCACACTACAGTCTCTTTCCCCTCAGATGCAAAGTTGCAAGTTTCACGCTTCTCTATCGCTGTTTCCGAGATAAATTACTTTCAATTCAAAGTATGGAATCCCCAAATTAATAATCTTGAGACGTTTTAAAATAAATTTGTCTTAGATTTTAGATTTTTGAGACTCAAATTTTGAAATTTGCAAGACAGAAAACGTCAGTTCTATTAAAAGGACAAAGAATGGAAGAAGAAAAAGATTTTGTGTTTTTAAAATATCTTGGTTGTTTTAAAAAAAAGAAAAGAAAAAAAAACACGCGTCTACCTCACTTTTTTTCCTTTTTTGTTTTGCTTTTTTTTGTGGTTTCAGTAAATTAAAAAGAAGAATAGATATACAATGGAGTTGCTGGCTGCTTTGTTGGGCAAAAAGACTGTATTGCGTTAATATTTCACTGTGATAGGCGGGCGCGTTTTTGAATTGTTTACATTTATCTGAATCAAAGAGTAATGATAAAGGATGAAGGGGAAGATAGCTGGCTGGGATGGATAGATAGATAGATAGATAGATAGATAGATAGATAGATAGATAGATAGATAGATAGATAGATAGGGAACAGACTGAGATAGATAGATAGATAGATAGATAGATAGATAGATAGATAGATAGATAGATAGATAGATAGATAGATATGGAAATGACTGAGATAGATAGATAGATAGATAGATAGATAGATAGATAGATAGATAGATAGATAGATGAAAATAACTGAGATAGATAGATAGATAGATAGATAGATAGATAGATAGATAGATAGATAGATAGATAGATAGATAGATAGATATGAAAAGGAGTGAGATAGATAGATAGATAGATAGATAGATAGATAGATAGATAGATATGAAAAGGGTGAGATAGATAGATAGATAGATAGATAGATAGATAGATAGATAGATAGATAGATATGAAATGATATGAAATGATGAGATAGATAGATAGATAGATAGATAGATAGATAGATAGATAGATAGATGGATAGATATGAAATGACTGGAGATAGATAGATAGATAGATAGATAGATAGATAGATAGATAGATAGATATGAAAAGGACTGAGATAGATAGATAGATAGATAGATAGATAGATAGATAGATAGATAGATAGATAGATATTTATAGTGGTTCGTTGGCTCTAGATTTATCCGTCTTAAGAATTGATCGAATTTCTTCAGTTTCCAGATTTTTTTTTTTCAAATCAATTAATAACGTTTGGCAAGACAATCTCTTCAACAGACAATCGCCATTCCTCTTCTTGCCCCAAATGTTTTTGTTTTTTCTTTTTTTTTTTTCCACTGAAAAGATCCAATTCCTTTCGTTTTATTTATTTTTTTTTTAATTTGCAGTGATTTTCCCGCCTTTTTTCTCTCTCACTCTTCAAAATCAATCATGGAGTCGAACAACAGCTGATAGAATCCCGGGTTTTAAAGATTTGGTGAATATAGTTAATGTATTTCCACATCTCAGTAAATGGTAATTTTTTCCCAACTGGTTAAGAAAAGAAGCCGCCAATGAAAAATTCCACTTCACTTTTTACCCATCATATCAAATGTTCCACAAACTGATGTTTTAGTGAAAGCTCTTAAGTAGCTGTGTGTCCTCATCTACCGATTGCACTCGATGCATATAAGAACGGAGTCACGCCCTCTCTGCTGCCAGGGTATCTGCAATCGTAAAAGTCAGTGTAGTCATACTATGAAACAGTTCTTTTCTTTCAATGTCCGCCGTTTACGTAACTAGTTAATGTTGGTTTGCCTTCATTTCATTTTTTTTTTTTTTTTTTTTTTTTTTTTTTGTTTAGGAAACACTTTAAAAAAAAAAAAAAGCCGCTGCTGAAAGCCCAGAGTGTGCATAAGGGAAGTAGAGAGAGAGGGCTAGCAGGAAACGGGAAATTAAAAAGTCTCTCTCTCTCTCTCTCTCTCTCTCTCTCTCTCTCTCTCTCTCTCTCTCTCTCTATCTATCTATCTATCTATTTCTCTCCCTACCTCTATCTATCTATCTATCTATCTATCTCTATCTCTCTCTCCCTATCTCTCTCTATCTCTCTCCCTATCTCTATCTCTCTTTCTCCCCTCTCTTTATATCTCTCACTGTATATATTGTATATATATATATATATATATATATATATATATATATATATATATATATATATAAGCAAATATATGGATATAGATCCGACAGTCTCTCTCTATCTATCTATCTATCTATCTATCTATCTATCTATCTATCTATCTATCTCTCCCTATCTCTATCTATTTATCTATCTATCTATCTCTCCCTATCTATCTATCTATCTATCTATCTATCTATCTCTCCCTATCTCTCTCTTTCCCATCTCTCTCTATATCTTTCTCTGTATATATATATATATATATATATATCTGTTTCAAAGGAGAGGAAACGTTATATACTTCTGACGAAATTCCATGTCTGGCACAAGGCCTGAAATTGTTGGGCAAGACGAGAACATCGAACTCACTACAGCAGCAAGTGCCTAAGAAAGAGAACTTGTTACCCATTACTCATAATTTCAAGGTTTCCTCTCACTTTTTTCCCTTCTGGTTTTCTTGGATGATCTCACCCCGAAATTCTTGCTTTCTTTCATCTCTTTCTTTCTTTCTTTCTTTCTTTCTTTCTTTCTTTCTTTCTTTCTTTCTTTATATATTTATTTTACTTTCATTTCTTGCTTTCTTTTACTTTTTCTTTTTTTGTATTTTCCCTTCTTTTTTTTTCTTTCATCTGTTTCTCTTTTTCTCGCATCTTTTCTTTATTTCTTCCACTTTTTATTCTTTCATTTTCTCGTTCCATCTGGTTCTTTACTTTCTTTTTCGTCTTTTTCCAATATTTCTCTTCTCTCTCTCTCTCTCTCTCTCTCTCTCTCTCTCTCTCTTTCACTCCTTCTTTACATCGTTTCATACTTTCTTTTTTTTCTTTCTTTTTGGCGCCAAAATCGAAAGTTAAAACCGGAATCGAAGGCACGAACCACAACTCCATCTTGTTAGTGAATTTAAAGAATTGAGAGTTTTTTTAATGCTACACTCTTGTGCAAATTAATTGAAACCACGCTTTATATACACCCGCGTCCTGGGTATGACGATACACTACGTCCAACAGCAAGACCTCTGATCAGGAGGTTTTGAGGAGCGTGGATCCACCTATTAATTGCTGGTGTTTCCTAGGTCCACCCTGACCCGAGATGGCCCCATCTATGGGCAAATAGTTAACTTCTAAACTGGGGCCAGTAAAAAAAAATGAAAGTGTATAAATAGATTATAATACCAGAAATAATTTATAAAAAATTAATACCAGCAATAAATTTTTGAAAAAAAATTATTACAGCAATAAATTTTTGAAGAAAAAAATTATTAGCAACAAAAAATTTTTGAGAAAAAAAATATTACCAGCTATACATTTTTTAAAGAAAAATATTACTAGAAATAGATTTTGAGAAAAAAAAATATTAACAGCAATAAAAATTTTGTCTTCATTAAATAACCCATTAAGGTTTATATGCCGTAAAACAAACCAAACCAAACGAAACCAAACAACGCTTTAGTTTCCTTTCTTTCACCATAAAGGTAAATAACAACAGAATTATTCATTTTGTTTCAATTAATTTTCACAAAGGTGTAGATATCATGACTTTACTGTTGAAATTGCTAGCTGGAACCGTAAGTTCTATGCTAACAGTTTCTTCTCATGCACTTCTCAATTGTGGAACTCTCGTTCGGCTTCCATCTTTCCTATCAACGACGATCTTCAAGAATGAATTTTTCTCTATGGTACCTAGACTTTATGAATTTTAGCGGCAAGGTCTCATTATTTTATAGTGGAAATGGCTAGAAGTAAGTTCCCTTATTCGCGTTTGTAACTCTTGTATCTAGATTTCCGAGATGAGGTATTGTAATTACACCTTTGTGCACATTAATTGAAACAACTGCTTTAGTTGCCTTTCTTTCACCATACGGCCAATTTTAGACCCACTGGAGTGACAAGGTGTAATCAATTTCTATTTTTTCCTCAGATTAGGTCATTTGCCGTGGTGTGCAGTAATATGAATCTATTTTCGTTTATAGCTTCTGTGATGTACTCATGAGGTATTTACAAAAGCATTATA